GCGCCACCCCCCCCCCCCCCCCCCACGGCCCCCCCCCCCCCCACACACACACCCCTGGGTCTCACCCCACACCTCTCAGGAAGCAGGCTGCCTGTAGAGGAAGGAGTGGCTAAACCAGGTTTCCATCTCCTGACTGACTCACCATGACCATGAGTTAAGTCACTTCCCCTCTAGGGTGTCACTTCCCTGTCCCCCTTGTAAGGGACAGATTGGAGTGGGATGAAGGTGAAAGGAGCATGAAGACCCCAGACTTAGTCAAGGCATGAAGGGGTCTTTTTCAGACAGGGTCTGCATTGAACGGTCAGTCCCCCTGCTCAGCGTGCCTGAGTGTTGGCGTTGCAGGTGTACAGTACCAGGCCTGGCACCCAGAGTCTTTTTGTTTTTAATTTCATAAAATTTTAATTAGTTGGTGGTGGCGCATGCCTTTAATCCCAGTGCTCAGGAGGCAGAGGCAGGTGGATCTCTGTGAGTTTGAGGCCAGCCTGATCTAGAGAGTGAGTTCCAGGACAGCCAGGACTGGTTCACGGGGAACCCTGTCTCAAAAAACCAGAAGACAAAAAAAATTATTTTGAGACAGGATCTCTCTGTGTAGTCTTTTTTTATTTTAGAGACAGGGTTTCTCTGTGGCTTTGGAGCCTATCCTGGCACTCGTTCTGTAGACAAGGCTGGCCTCGAACTCACTGAGATCCGCCTGCCTCTGCCTCCCAAGTGCTGGGACTAAAGGTGTATGCCACCAGCGCCCGGCCTTTCTCTGTGTAGTCCTGGCTGTTCTGGAATTCACTATGTAGACCAGGCTGGCCTCGGCTTCCAGAGTGCTGGGATTAAAGTTGCCGTGTGCCGCCACCACCCAGCTCCCCAGAGTCTTTATGGGGAGTTCCTGCTTGTGTGTGAGAGTATTTATCGACCCCTCACTTGTGCCTGTGTAGCATAGGTGCGCTGCTGTGGAGGGCCACATCCTGGCTGCACCTAGTGCAGACTGGATGACTTGAGTTCACATGTTGGCAATACTGTTTTTTCTGAGTATGAGCAGGGTGGATCCCCAGACTCTCTGCAAGCACATTGGGAGATGCGGTGTCAATACTAGGTGTTCTCTGAGTTGCTATTCTTAGCATCTGTTAGCAGGTAAAGAAAGGGCTCTGACTTAGGTGCTCTCTTCTCTGCTAACCTCCCCTTCAGGCACAAAATAGAGCTGTCAAGTCCAGCTCCATTCTGTCCTAGTGTTTGCAGTCTCTGCATCAGGACTGTCCCTAACATTCTCAGAACCTCCTGGCCTTCCCACTGCACCGCTCACCTGAGGATCCTGCTGCCACCTTTGGCAGCCTGTACCCCACTTTTCCTGCTACCCGTGAAGTGTAAATTAAGCCTGCTCTGTGGTGCCAGGCCCTTTGCCAGATGGTTGAGTGGACCTGTGATTTCAGAGCTGTGGGTGACCGATGTGTCTCCAATCCTTTTGGCTTTGAATTGGGAATTTCTGGTCTGTGTGGCAAATGAGGGTATGTAGTAGGCCTAGTGGGGTAGTGCTCACCAACACTGGCTGATTTCTGGTAAGTGGTGAGCTTTGGTCACCCCCCACCCAAAAAAAAAGTATGTGGCCATGGGAGCAAGAGTACATTTATGAAGGCATTCAGTGAATGGGGAAGGGGGCAGGGCAGTCGCTCAGTTGCTCAGATAGATGGGACACTTGTCAGGACCCTGACAGAAGTAACGCTGATCGACCCTATTAGGCCTTTGTAGCCCAGTCTTAACACAGGAGGGCAATCTGGTGGTGAAGTAGCCTCCAGAGCAGACTGGCAGAGCCCTCAAAGGCTGTGGACGCTAGCCTGAGGTGCACTGTGAGGGAGGGTCATAGAGAAGAATAGACAACCAAGCAGTGGAAAGGTAGATGACACAGCTTGGGTGTGGGCCCATGGGCTTCTGACCACTCCTCTCCACAGCTCACCCCTGGAGGCAAAGCTGCACAGGCTGGCGTGGCTGTAGGAGACTGGGTGCTGAGCATCGATGGTGAGAACGCAGGGAGCCTCACACACATTGAGGCCCAGAACAAGATCCGCGCCTGTGGGGAGCGCCTCAGCCTGGGGCTTAGCAGGTATGGGGCCAACAGGATGAAGGGGTGAAGGCAGTCTCTGGTCTGGCCCACTGCCATCACTGCTTTCTCTTCTTCTCCAGAGCCCAGCCTGTTCAGAGCAAACCACAGAAGGTAGGTTGTACAGGAGATAACTAGGCTGAGAAAGGGAGGGGGCTTAGACTTCAGGGTTGACCTGCCCTCCCCAGGCCCAGCCTTGTTACCCCTAAGAGCAGAGGGCAGATGCCAGAAGGGGCAGTGTCTGAGGAACTGAGAGGGGCTGGGAGCTGCCGCACGGTCTGGGCGCCACACGTGCCTGCCTGTCTGTCTGCCCGCCCGCTTCCTCCCACGAGCCTGTGCTGTGTGTGCCTGCCCATCCTTGGTCTCCCTTGGCCCAGAGTGGGTTGAGTTCACTACTTCCAAATGGGCCCCTTGAAATCATAGTTTCCCCTCACCCTTAGCCTCTGCCCAGATGTGTACGTGGAGCTGGACCTGTCACTGTCCTTGGTGGTGGTGACTCCGCTCCCACCTCAGCCCCCACTCCCACCCACCCTGCCTGGCTCTGTCTCTGCCCAGGCCCTGACCCCTCCCGCCGATCCCCCGAGGTATACTTTTGCACCAAGCGCCTCCCTCAACAAGACGGCCCGGCCCTTTGGGGCACCCCCACCTACTGACAGCACCCCGCAACAGAATGGGTATGTCAGCCCTCGCCCACTCACTCCTGTCTATTGTCCACACCGTCCAGTCCTTCCACAAGCACACACAAGCTGCCCGCTACTGCTCAGTCTGTGCTGTACCCCAGCCCCTTAACCGTGTGGCAGCAATCCCTGGCGGCCGGGTAGGCCTGAGGGTGTAGAGCCCCACCTAAGGCTGTCGCTCTTGCACAGGCTCTGCCACTCTGGGCAGCCTGGGGTTGGGGTGTGACTGGGCCAGCTGAGTTACTGCCACCTTGCCTCCCTCTGCACTTCTCTAATTCCCCATCTTTCTCTCCCGCGTCTGTCACTTTATTTGTCTATCTGTCTTATTTCCTTCACAGGTGCAGACCCCTGACAAGTCAGTGAGCCCCCTCTTCCTGTCACTTTTTCCCTTCCTTTGGGCACTTTGGGTGGTAGCCCCTCCCTACCCTGGCTACTCTCCTCCCGTCTCTCATTTACCTACCTACCCTCCTGCCCAGCAGGGCCCTTTGCCTCACCCCCCACCCTTCCCCTCTCTCGCCTGTCACATCAGATCCTGGTGGGGGGGGCTGCCCCTGGTGTTCACCAGAACCAGGGGTTCTGAGCCACACCCTTCCCACAGACAGTTGTTCAGACAGCTGGTCCCCGATGCCAGCAAGCAGCGGCTGATGGAGGATACCGAAGACTGGCGGCCACGGCCAGGGACAGGCCAGTCCCGCTCCTTCCGCATCCTTGCCCACCTCACGGGCACAGAGTTCAGTAAGTGCTGGCCCAGGTCAGGGCGGACTCTCTTGGCCTTAGCCTAGGCCTGACTTTGCCAGGACTCGAGGCTGGGGTGACCCCTGTTTCTCTTGGTCAATGCCTGCCTCTGTCCTCTCAGTGCAAGACCCGGATGAGGACTACATGAAGAAGTCAAGGTAAAAGCGTGGGCTCCCGCCCTCCCTCTAGCCTCCCACTCTTCTTTCCAGCCGCCACCCCGCTGCTCCTGGCCCTCTCCCGCCAGGGCTCTCTTCTCTCCCTGCCTCCTTCCTTCCCTCCACCCCCTGCCTCCTCCACCTCTCCTTCTTTCACTTCCTCCTCCTCTCTCTCTCTCTGCCCCTCAGGGAAAAGTATGTCCTGGAGCTACAGAGCCCACGCTATACACGCCTCCGGGACTGGCACCACCAGCGCTCTGCCCACGTGCTCAACGTGCAGTCATAGCCTGGCCCTTTCCAGCCTGCTGCCCTCTGCTTTCCTTTCTCTGTTACCCTCCCAGGGCACCCATTGGTGCCTCCAGCTTCTGCCTACCGCTTTCATGCCCCTGGTCTGAACCTCCTACTGGCCTGGTCCTGGCAGCCCGCCTGGCACAGGGCCTGGCTTCGTCTGACACTGCCTTCCCTCTTGGCCCTGTGGTTCTACTGTCTGCCAGGTCTGCACTGCCTTGAGCATGAAAATAAACGTTCTCAGCCTCGCTTTCTTTGCCGCTGTCTTCTGTCTTATTGGGTCTGGTTATGTTTTGGGTACGGGGCGTTAAATGGTTTAGACTTGGTGCGGGTCCTGCAGTCTTCTCGGTGGGAGGACATCCCTAACAAAGATGGCTGTGCCTTAGCTTGGTTCTTTTGTATGAGAGGAGACCCAAAGACTGCCGTAGGAACGGGAGCCCCACCCTGCTTCCATACAGCACACCAGATAGCTCTAACCTACTTAGGGGAGGCACCCCCTCCTACCTGTACCCCAGAGGGACCTGGAATCCATCCCAGCCGCTCTCATGCACTTGAGATTCACTCATGGGCCCAGCACAACTGGAGTTAGGGGGTGGGACCATGCCCAGAGCCTCAGCCAGGCAGGGCCTTGAATGGCTGATCTTACAGCCAGGTGCCCAGGACAGAAGCCCCAGCCCCAGCCCCAGCCTCAACTATACCCCAGGAACCCTGGCCTGGTAAGAAAGTGGACTTGGGTGTGAAGAAGGGTGGGTAGCCGCCATGGTCATAGGGGTGGTGGGCCTTTGTAGGCTACCCTGGGCTCTACCCTCTGCACTTTGGGCTCCCTGAGTGCCCCTCTGGATCTACTTTCCTTGGCTGTCAGGCCCCACCACCACCCCCAGCCCCACCAGTCGCCCACCCTGGGCCGTGGACCCTGCGTTTGCTGAGCGCTATGCCCCAGACAAAACCAGCACAGTGCTGACCCGGCATAGCCAGCCTGCCACACCCACGCCTCTGCAGAACCGAACCTCCATAGTGCAGGCTGCAGCTGGAGGGGGCACAGGAGGGGGCAGCAACAATGGCAAGACTCCCGTGTGCTACCAGTGCCACAAGATCATTCGGTGAGCGCTCCCTTCTAACCCTGGTCTTTCCTGCCCTGCAGCCTGGCCTTGGCCCCGATGTATCTATCTGCCCTACCTCAGTTGCTACTCTGAGGAAATTAAGGATCTGGTAGAAGCAGGGGAAGGATCTAGCCTGGAACCTTAGATCTTTTAAAATTTATTTTACTTCCCGAATATAGGTGTTTAGCCTGTGTGTGTATCTGTGCACCAATCGCATGCCTGGTGCGCACGGAACCTTTGGGAAAGGGTGCTGCATTTCCCTGGTGCTGGATGGAGTTGTAGTTGGCTGTGAGCCTTCATGTGGGTGCTGGGACTCAACCCTGGGTCCTGTGGAAGAGCAGTAAGTGCTCTTCACTGCCATCTCAGCAGCCCCCATTCTCAGATGCTTAATCCTACACTTCCTACCATACGCTCCCCAGCCTATTGCAGTGAGGTGCCAGCGGCACCCTGAAGCTGCGTCTCACTTTGCAGCTCTCGGGCTGCTGCTTCCCCAGCATGCATGGTCTCTGCTAAACCACACCTCTCAGGGCCAGTAGGCCACAGTTACCTCCCTCTATACACTGCTCCCTGGAACCCAGCCAAGTCACACAGCCCCTCACAGCCAGATTCTAGAACCTTCCTAGTTGGCCCTGGTGGGCTGCTCTAGTCTCCCATCAACCCTTAGGCAGAGGATTTGTAAAAAGCATCCCCTCCTGACATCCCTGTTTATCCAGGGCTCACAGGCCCCTGCTCAGGCCAAATGGAACAGGGAAGCAGGACAGGGTTTTCACCAGGGTCAGTTGGGGTTTCACCCTCACACTGGGCAGTAGTCCCCCAGGAGTGTCTTGGTAGTCTTAAACTGTCAATTCCCTCCCAAACCAGGGCACCAAAACTGCCGCAGTTATCAGGAGAGTATATAAGGGTTCCCTTTCCATTTGCTCCCTCTTGCTGTAGGATCTTGGAGAAACCACTCCTGTCTTCCTCCTGGGGTGCATACCTCATTTGCATACATTCCTTCTCCCTGCAGGGGCCGTTACCTGGTCGCACTGGGCCATGCATATCACCCTGAAGAATTTGTGTGCAGCCAGTGTGGGAAGGTCCTGGAAGAGGGTGGCTTCTTTGAGGAGAAGGGGGCAATTTTTTGCCCCTCCTGCTATGACGTGCGCTATGCACCCAGCTGTGCCAAATGCAAGAAGAAGATCACTGGAGTGAGTGGGGCTGGCAGGAGGGCAGGTGGGCGGGAGGCTTGAATTCAGCTCAGAGTATGGTCCCAGTAATGGAGGCCTGCATACAGCTCAGAGTATGGGCCCAGTGATGGAGGCCTGCATACAGCTCAGAGTATGGGCCCAGTGATGGAGGGCCTGTGTAACATGTACAGGCCCTGGTTCCATTCCCTGCACAGTCTCGTTAGCATGGTGGCGTTTGTTTCTAATCCCAGAGCTTGGAAAGCAGAAGCAAGAGCATTCTAATAGGCCATTCCGGGTTACACAGTGAGACTCTGTGTGAAGAAAACAAAATGGCATTACTTATACCAGCCAGGATACTCTTTGTCTGAGACAGGGTTTCTCTGTGTAGTCCTGGCTGTCCTAGAACTTGCTCTGTAGACCAGGCTGGCCTTAAACTCAGATCTGCCTGCCTCTGCCTCCCAAGTGCTGGCATTAAAGGTGTGTGCCACCACCACCCAGCTAGCCAGTATACTCTTAAAAGACTAAAATTTTTTTTAGTGTATTTATTTTATGTGTATTGAGTGTTTTGCACCAGTCACACCTAGTGCTGTCAGAGGTCAGAAAGATGGTGTCTTCTGGACTTGGAATTACAGACCTACCATGTGAGTGCTGTAAACCAAACCAGGTCCTCTAGAAAAGCAACAAGTGCTCTTAACCACTGAGCTACCTCTCCAACCTAAAAGATCAAATTCCATTGGGGGGAGGGAGGAAAGCTGGTTGGTGGTGGCCTTTAATCCCAGCACTTGGGAGACAGAGGCAGGCGGATCTCTGTGAGCTTGAGACCAGCCTGGTCTACAAGAGCGAGTGCCAGGATAGCCTCCAAAGCCACAGGGAAACCCTGTCTCAAAAAAAAAAAAAAAAAAAAAAAAAAAAAAAAAAAAAGCACATAGAAATAGAAAATTGTCACACTGTTGTTTAGGGAATAATGACAAGAACAAGTAGTAGCATCTAGCCAGGTGGTAATGGCATACACCTTTAATCCCAGTACTCGGGAGGCAGAGGCAAGCGGATCTCTGAGTTCAAGACCAGTCTGGTCTACAGAGAGAGTTCCAGGGCAGCCAGGGCTACACAGAGAAGCCCTGTCTTGAAAAACCAAAAAAAAAAAAAAAAAAAAGAAAAGAAAAATTCGCGTCTGTCCGTTCAAGCCCAGGTATTTTCCAAGTATTGTTGATTAAAGCCGCAGGTGCTGGACCTAAGGGCCCTGAGGGCCGCTTGTGCTTTAGCTCTCCAGTCTAGGTTGCAGCTGCTGGTAGAAGTGAAGGGGGTGTAAAAGCCGTGACCGACCAGCTCAGTGTCTACTGCTCCTAATGTACAGAGCTGAGACTGGGCGATAACTAGACAATAAAATACTCCAGGGTGGCAAGGGCAGAAATTCATATGAAAACATTTGATGCAAACCCTGTTTGTCCCTCAAAGGCTAAACACGAGAGCATAATCCAACCAGGTTTTCTCTGCACAAACCTGGCTGCCATCAGAACTGGGCTTGAGGCTTCATTGGTGTGCGTAGCAAGAGTTCAGACCTAGTAGGCAGGTCTAGCCCACTCCCAGGTGCTCTCACGGGGGAGAGGGACTTGCGAGTGACACAGGCTCAAAGCAGGAGCTGACACCTTGCATGGCCGTCGTCAGATGACTTCACCATTACCAGGGCAGGGACTCTTAGCGGACACCTGTCACGAGGCATAAACTGAGGACTCTGCTCTTAAGTCCAGTCACGTACAGTGTTCGGAGCCCCCTCTCATTCATGCTTCAGCCCTCCAGGCTCCCCGTCTTGTCAGTGAGCTCTGGTCCTTTACCACAGCACCTTCCAGACTCCTGGCACCCTTTTACCAATACCCTTCTTTCTCAGCTGAGGGCTAACTGTCACTTCCTCGAGAACCTCCTCATCCTCCTCTTTCAAAAAACACAATTTTTTAATTGTGTAGGCAATTTCGAATGAGGGCAAGTGTCCATGGAAGCCAAATGAGTGTGTCGTATCCCCTGGAACTACAGTTATAGGTTGCCTAAAATGGGTGCTGGAAAGCAAACTTGGGGGGTCCCCTTCAAGAGGCCACATCCATCTCTTCAGTCCTAGGAATACCTTTCTTATTCATTCATTCATTCATTCAGTTAAGACAGGGTTTCTTTGTAATGCTGGCCATCCTTGAACTCTCTCTGTAGACCAGGCTGGCCTCAAACTCAGAGATCCACCTGCCTCTGCCTCTGCCTCCTGAGTGCTGGGATTAAAAGGTGTATGCCATCACTGCCCAGCCCCCAACTCTGCTCTCCCATCAGGCCTTCCTCTCCAGCTACCTTGCTGTGCCATGTCTTTTGTCCCATCTTGCTTCCCTGAGCCACGATGAGGGTTGTTTGATTTAGGTGCTGTGCCCCATTGTAGAAGGTGGTCAGTAAACATTGAACAAGTGGATGGAAGTGGCCTTAAGAGGAAGACAAGCACAAGTGGGAATTCCCCCAGAGAAGGCTGAGGCAGAGGAGTAACTTGTGTGGCAGATAGCACTTAAGACAGAGGAGGAGTCTGGAGCTGAAAGCAGGTCAGATAAGCTTCAGAAAGCTCTGGCGGTGGGGCGGGGGAGTGGAACTGGCTTATCCTGGGGGATTGGGGTGCTAGGCAGAGAGATTGCTAGTCAGTATAGTTTTGATACAGTACAGATGTAGGGTCATCCCAGAGCTTTTATTTCTGAGTCAGCGTCTTTTATAAATTTGGGTTAGGTTTAGTTCAGTGGTAGAGTACTTGCCTAGCACCTAGAGGTCCTTGATTTTTGTCTGGGGCACCAAGAAAAACAGAAGGTTTCAAGTCATTCTCAGTGATCAAGTCAGAACCAGCGTTTAAATCAGTCCAAGTAATCCCCAAGGGACACAGGCTCCACTTGGGTCCATTGAATACCCCATCCGGCCCTTACAAGAACCTGGGGTCCGTGGCTGCAAACGTGGGGCTCTTTTCTAAACAGTTCAACAAGACTGGGTTCAGGCACTCAGTTCCTAAGATAAAGAGCCAGGACTACAAGAGGATAGAGCTGTTGCCAGGTACATAGCCTCTGGCCACGGTGCACTTAATAGTCCCAGGAATGACCAGTCTGACCCCGGGGAGAGCTCATCCACTGGGGCCGATTCTCTAAGCACCCACAGTGGGTTAGGCACTGTTGGAATAGATCCACTCATACCTTCCATGTAAACATGGAAGAGGCAGTAAACAGCTGGTGGAACAAACATTATCTGGGAGTGTGTTTGTGAAGTGATGGTTCCAGGACAGTAGAGGGAGAGGCGCTGCCGGTGTGGGTGGTACAGGAGAGGTGGCATGGCACATTCGCTGGCGTCAGAGTGGGCCCTGTGGAGAGAGTGACGGTTACACAGAAACTTAAAGTCAGAGGTGGGGAGGTGTGAGGAAGAGAGGACCTGTCTGGGCAGGATAGCTGGGATGTAGCCCCAGCACGGTGTGCTTGGTGTGTCAGCGACAGGTAAGATGTTAGTATAGCAGAATTGATGTGTGAGTGAGTGAGTGAGTGAGTGTGTGTGTGTGGGGGGGGAACAGACAGGCCTGTGTGCTGGATCCTGCACGGGACTTGGCAGGATTTTGTTTTTGCTTTTGTTTTTCGAGACAGGGTTTCTCTGTACTGTTTTGGAACCTGTCCTGGAACTCTCTGTAGACCAGGCTGACCTCGAACTCACAGAGATCCACCTGCTTTTGCATCCCAAGTGCTGGGATTAAAGGCGTCCACCATCAACGCCCAGCTAGGACTTAGCTTTTTAAAACACAGGTCTTAATAAATTGAGCAGGCTGTTTGAATGCTGTATCCAGCAGGCCTCTTAACTTTAACCGTGCTGGGCATGTCTTGAAGGTGGAACACTTCAGTGCTCACTAATGAGAGTCATGAGAGAAAGGGGGATTTTGAGTTGGACAGGGTGGCGCACTCCTGAAAACCCAGCCCTCAGAAGATGGCGACAGAGAGCATTAGGAGTTCAAGCCAGCAGGGTTACATGAGACTACAAAAAAGAGAAAGAAGGTGGATTTTTGGGATTTGGCCTGAACAGATGGAGAGGTTGACTGGGAGGAACAGGCTTGGCATAGAAAGTCTGGGAACTGTTTGAGACACAGAGTTGAGAGTTGCCAATGGCGATCCGGAAGCTGTGTATGTGTAAATGTGTGTACAGAGTAGGAGGGC